CATGGGAACACCGATCAGCAAAGGTGAATGCAACCCAACACAGACAGCACAAGAAGAATCAAGGAACTCTGCACCAATGCAAGACTGCTGCCACCATCCTTCTTTTTCGTGGCCTTTTCTGCTGCTTGTTTCGCCTTTTCCGCTTCTTCCGTGGCCTTTTGCGCCGCCTCCTGTCTCGCCTTTTCTTCCTCTGCTTTTTGTGCCGCCCGCATTGCCTTTTCTTCCTCAGCCTTCCTTTTCTTTTCTTCTTCCGCAGCTTTTCGTACTTCTTCCTCTTTTCTTTTTCTTTCTTCTTCTTCCCTTTTCGCCCTTTCTTCCGCCTCCTGTTTTTCTCGAGCCCTCCTTGCTTTTCTTTCCTCCGCGGCCGCCTTTATTCTTTTCTCCACCTGAACCACTTCTTTAGCGTGTATTTTCTGCAAGGGATCGAACTTGTCCTTGAAGGCCTTGATGTCATCCTTCCGTGAACTCTTTTCCCGTGATTCCCCGCGATTCAGAACCGGTTGATTCTCTTTTTTTACTTCATCCACCACCTGATGAAAACCACGGGCACCAGCACCAACAGAAATTGCGGGACAATGTTCACGGAATCTCTCGTACTTTTTCTCCAAAAGAAACCTCACTCCCCCCTTGGATTTGAGGCCGCACGCATGTGTTTCCCCACTCAGATTAGACAGTTCGACCATGACCCTCTCCATCACCTTGGACCTTGCCGTGTAGAGTTCAAGGGTTTCTTTCCTCCTCGCCAAATCGCAATGAATGTAATCACGATCCAAAACCATCTCCTCGTATCTCTTGACTGCCCCCTTGAGTTTGTCCGCCGGATCACGAAGGTTTGCGACGTAAAAGGAACACTCCCTCTTTGTTTTGTTTACTTTATCGACCAGTCCATCTGCCGCATCTGCTGCATTATTATATTTGGCCTTCATTTGATTGAATTCTTCCACAAACTTCCTAACAGCCTCTGTTTGGCAAGATTCGGTCTTCTTCTCCGGTTTTCCCTCGAGAAACTTCTCGATGCCCTCAACAACTTCAGTGGTGGCGTTCAAAGCGGTTTCCATATCCGCATAATTCTTATTGCATGCATTCACCTCCTTCCCCCACAAGTCCACACACGCACTTCCGTTCGCAAGTATTTCCTGCGGTGATTTCACCTCCGCAAGTGGACTCTCCGGGCCAAACCACGACCGATTCATTATTCTCTCCGCATGTTCGAGGTCCTCCTCACGAAGTTCAGGGCATTTAGCCATTTTCTGACCATAAATCACCTGAGCCTCGCACGAAAGAAAATACAGAACAACCAACAGGTATACCACGCGAAGCAGTTGGATGGACATCGTTGTCATGATTGTCACTGTGGGTTGCTTGGATCTATGGTAACAAGGAAGAAGAGGAAAAGGAGAAAAGTAGACACACATTTAACACACAAGGCAGACAGTACACAGCAGTACAGAAAGAGAGAATACACAACACAACAGCAATCAAACACAACCCAACGAGGGGAACAACAATAAACCACTCACACAATAAAACACACCCAGAGTTACACAGATATTGAAACAACACCCCGAATTTAGAAGAAGTGGAAAACAAATGGTATCAAAACAATGTTAAATAAACGTCTCTACACACACTCCAGTATCTCACTCGGTATTCATACACAAACAAAGTGTGTCTGTATTCTCATTATAATAAAATCATTACCAGGCAGTTTGAACACCAAAATACACCAAAAACACAGTGTGTACGCCTGACAACATACAAAAACAATACCACAAATCATCAGCAAAACAAAGAGACTGTACAATAATCAACACACCTCCAAACAGAAAAAGAAAAGACACCAATGCATCACCATAACATTTATACCAACACCACAATTGGAATCTAAAACCCACTCACTCACAACCATAACAAAAATGACTGCATACATCACTGTAATACCATGCCACTCTTTACAAACAGAGTCAACACACACATTTACTCTCTCACACACATAATTACCTCTTTATTTATCCTTATTACTATTATTTTTTTCCTCAGAATGCCGGTTCGGCTCTTCTTCCTCTCCCACAGCATTATCAGCAATAAAAAAAAACACGCACCCAAACAAACACACACATCCTTTACTCCATGGTGTGTATTAGGAGGGTAATATCAAACATATCCCCCTACCCAAAAAGGACCCCACACCCCACACCACCACGTTTTATCTTTCTGTTCTTCGTGTTTTTATGGATGTTACTCCAATGGAACGGGCCATCAAGAGGAATACATAAATATACATAAATACAATTTGTTTTTATATTATTTTTTTTACTACCGTTGGGCATGGGGGGTGCGCATTGGTAATGAAATTACAATGGATCTCGTGGGTGGCAGAATATGGATTTTTTTCGCCTCTCTGAGTCCCCTCAGCGGCCAAATCTAATTTCCGCCACTGGAGGGCATAATTGTTATTTTCTCTAGGGTCCCTGTCTCTCCTTTTTTAGCAGCATTCACACTAAAGTGCAATATATAAAAGAAACTGCTGCTGACGGCACAACTGATACACGCGCCCCAGGACCTTCTTGGATAAAGTTTTGTCCCAGTACGACTCTGCTGACCCCGGTGCTGTATAATGTTTTTAGCTTATTGAAACCGTAAACTCTCAAGAAAGAGAATTTGCTGGCCCATGGCTTACCCCTCAAAATAATAAGGGATAATGGACATTGACTCCAACTTTCGATGGCCAAACGCCACCAAGGGGAATAGCATTCCTAAGAATGCATGTATTAGAAAAAAAAATAAAAAGAATTTGGTTTTTTTAAGGAGACCACACACATCAAAAATTTAGTGAGTGCATTTGGTTTCCTTGAATAATTTCATCTACTCCTCCTTGGCGCCACGACGGGAGGGAACTCATTACCAAAGATTTTTTTCCATACAATTCCTACATCTCGCAAACCCCATGGAAGTTATAAATAAAATAATAAAAAATACATAATGTCACTCTTATTGGTCACACAATCATTCAAAAGTTTAGCCTTATGGTTTTGTTTCCTCTGTTTATATAAATATCGAACCCAATGATTCCGCCGCTCTGTGGTAATATCTCTCTTTTGTGCAGAAGGCGCGTGAACCGCAGTGGAAGAACACTACCGCCAGCCCCTACGACCCTTTACATACTTAAGGGATTCTTTGCTGGTAAAAGGTTTTTTCTTTATCCTCACGTTTCTTGCTTCACAATAAGATAATATGGCATTTTCTATCGCCACTATTTCTTCAATTCGAAATTTTTGCTCTGGGGGAAGCAGGGACAACAACAACGGTATATGTATATATTTATATTTATATATATATTGTTGTTGTTCTTTATTGTAATTATTACCGTTTTCTCAAAGGAGGTCATCGGAAGCTAGTTTCTTGATGGCGTGCGCCATTGAAGTATAACCCATAAGGTTGCAAAAACAAAAAAAAAGATAAAAAGGAGGAAAAAAATTATCTTCTTTCCATACGGTTTTTAGAATTTTCCACCAAAAAAGCGTGATGTGCAATTCCAATTCTATTTTCCTGTGTTTTTAAAACGTGGAAATGACCCAACTTTCCTTCACCAATATTGGCTAGATGTCCTATTTATCGGTAATTAACGTTTGTTGTTAAACCCCTAGAAAAACTAAAATACATCTGGAAAATACGTTGGGGAAAAAAAAGAACTGACAACGGTCGCTACCCTTCGAGGATTTTAAAAGCTAAAAGCCAGGAGGTCCATGTCGTAGTATTAATCATCCGTGCAGTGAAACATAAAGATTAGCCTTGTAAGCTTATGAATCGTGTTTCTGCTTTCCATCCTTGGCCGTCAGCAGTGGAATGGGTAGGGTGTTTCGGTTCCGTTTCCTTTACTTCTGGTAGTTTGCCGTTGCGAGGCCGATGCGTGACGGTTTGTGCGCACCAAGAGTCATCCCGGAATCTTAGAAAGGGTTCGATTTTTGCGGTACACCTTTTTAAAAGTTATTTTAAAACCAACTTCAAAAACCTTTATTATTTTTTTTTTCAGGGCCAATATCCATTTAATGGCTGGAATTGGGTCGCCTTTGATGAATAATTATCGCCTTGGCACTTTATCTTTTTTCCCCAGGCATTCAGCGCAAAAAATATATTACCGCTGTATACGTGCACGTGTATTTTTTTTTTTTTGAAATAATAGTGCTTGTGCATCGTAATGGGAAATATTTTACAACATAACTGTAAGAATGAAGATGTTTTTGCTCCCATAAGGAACCCAACCCTGAAGCGGGATTACACCTATTCTCTACTGAGCGGCTCGCTTCGGAAAAAGCATTCCCATTTTTGTACCAAAGATTACTTTCTTCCCTTGGAACCGTTGGGGGTAAGAAGCAAAGCCCCCCGTTTCTGCCCTCCCTGGGTGCCGGGCGGTGGGTCAAATTTTTATCTTTTTCTGTTTTCTCTCTCTCGTCCTTTCCGCTCTGGGTTTTCTTTTTTTATTCAGGGAATTCAAATGCGCACGCCAAGGGGAGTTGGTGAAAAGTACCCGGCGGCCTTTCTTTCCTAAAGTGGGATGTGTTGAAGGTTAATCTGCGGAAATCTACCATTCATATTTTTTTCTGTGTCGCTGTGCTTTCTTGGCCCTTTAGGTGTGGTTTTTAAACCCGCCAAAAATATCAAAACCTAAATTGACACGCCATTATGTCCGGACCGCAGGCGTTGAAGAGGACTTCTTTTTATCGCGCTTCAGCTGAGGCGGCAACTGAAGGAAAAGGATCCCTCCCTTTTGAGAAAAATAAAAGGGAATTGCCAACATCTTGCGCGACAGCTTAGTGCATATTGACCCGTACCATCTGGGGTAACAAAAAACCCCAAGTTCCACTAAGAGCCATGCAAATGTTATCGCGGTGCGCCTCGCTGCTATCTGCTGCGCGCGGCGTTCCCCCAATAATGGTTCAGTTCGTTCCCTATACTTGCTTGTGGCAATTCCCACCGCAGCGCAGATGCCCACAGTTTGTTCAAGACCCCATTGCCGTGGCAAGTGCGGTTCCCCGCTTTGAAAAGAAAAAAAGTTTGCAGATCAACATAACTTGTGGCAGGTGGTTTGGTTTCCACTGCGAGAAGCGAATCGGCACTCCAAAGAAATAGGTGGGGCCCGTGGGAAAGAGAGATGCGTGATAGTCGCATTTGGGCTTCCCGGGGCTTCGGGCAGGCAATTCATGCAAAAGGGTTTTTAGTAGGTATAAACGGGTTTCCCCATCTCTGGGGTTCAAGGTCTGCAAAAAGTGAAGCATACCCAAATGTATTTCTTTCTTTTTTTCCCTTTTCATTAGCTTTCAGCCAGAAATAGTTTAACTAAAGTGGAAAAAACAAAATGGGAAACAAGGCATTTGTTTACGCAGCAGGATGTGACCCTTGGGAAAGGCCGCCAACCGTTAAGCCAAAGAAACGGCTGGGATTTTCTACTTTGTATCTAATAAAATAAGGAAGACAACCCACACTTTTTTTCTGAGTAGCAACTTATTTGCGCACATAGTAAAAATAATGAAAAGCCACTTTTGTGTAATAATGAAAACCTTTGGCAGTCCACAACTCTGCAGATAAAAAAAAAACAACCTTCTTTTACAGATGTTCCCCAAACAGCCTCAGAAAAGGAAATCGGGATCACAACATTATCTAAAGGCATTCCGGATTCTCGTTTGAAAGAGAATTCTTTTAAGATTGGTGGGGTCACTGCTTTCGCACTCTTCCTCCAAAAGTTTTCGGCGTTTCCGCAGGGGCGGTGGTGCCGTGAGGGGCGCGCTGCGTTCTTAAGCCACGCTTTTTTTTTTTTTTTTTTTGGAGCCGACACACCCCATTGGCATACCAGAGTTCGTCTATGAGTATGTTGGAAACAAAATACTTCTGTAGGGTATATCCGATTCTCGTTGCCTACCCCATGATCTTTTCACCGGCCGGCTCATGTTATCCGTTTGGGTGGCTTCCTTTCCCTTGACGGGGTTGCGGCTTACCGAACGCCATTGTTATAGTGCAATTCTCTTGAATATGGCTTTGGAAATTTAATTGTAAGAATAATCTGTGCCTTACTTTTCTCAAAAAAAGCAAAGGAGTTGGAAAAATTATTTATCAACAGATCTCTAACTTATCATTGCCATAAAGTGTTAAACAACAAATCCGTTAGTGACTCCCCAACATCCTTCTTCAGTAGAAAACGTTCTTTGCATAGCGAAAAGGTGGGTTTTGAGAGCGTTTTTTAACCTTTTTTCCTCGTTTCACTTTTGAGAGTTCCACCTCTTTGATAAACCTCTTTCTTTAATAAAACTCCTTCTCGAAAAGAAATATATCTCACGTTCTTCTCCAAAACTGTATTATCTCATGTCTTTTCTCATTGGATTCTAAACTATGACATGATGGAAGCGCAGGAACGGCAACGCGTTATAACTTCCCCCAAAGAGCCGGGAACACCAGATAAAAGGTGCAACGCCTCTACTTGAGAAGTCGAGCGGGCCTCTACTACTTAAGTATCATCGACTCCGCTGTGGCAAAACTTGGTAAGTTTTTTTTCACACATTATGGCAGAATCATTTTCCAAAATATTCTTCAGTTGCTTCCGCCCCAATTTGGGAACGTCCGCCGAAGAAAAAAAAAAAAAAAAACAGGCCCGATCCTCAGGATGCGAAGACTCTCTATTACGAGTCTAAGGTGCTCTTTGCAGTGATTTCAAAAAAGAAATAATATGGAAAAGCAGATTTCCGACACACACACAGACGCAGCCCAGGTGTACGCATCATCTGCGAAAGCGGAATTTCTTTCTATTTGACCAAGGCACTTTGAACATATGTCACCCCACGCAAATACTACGTTACTTTTTTAATGAAAGCAATTGTCTACTTTTCTGGGTGAAATTTACACCTATGAAGTCAAATTCTTCTGTTTTTTTTTTCTTTCCCTCGTCTCCGTGAGGGCCCGGCTTCCGTACATCCTGCGTAATTTATTTCTTCTATTCACCTACAATTTCTTACGACGTAAAAATTAAGAGGATATTGTCG